TTCCAGTGAAACCAAGCAAGCATGCGCACGGATAGTTGTTCACACCATTCATGCACGAACCACCAATGAGACTGCGTCAAAACGTAATTTTAGGAAACTTCAAGCTGCAAAAACATAATCTTACCAGTTTCACAGCGTTCACCAGAATACCCAGGTATGCACTTGCACGAAAAATTGTTTGCGCCATCTACACACGTCGCACCATTAGCACATGTGTGGTTAGCGCAGTCATCGACGTCTTTGGAAAGAGGAAACAACAGAGAGTTAGAAGTTTACCTTCTGTCCTTACTTCCCTCTATTAAAGTTGTGAAGTTAGATTCTGACTCACAGCATAGTCCACTATTAGCACTAACTTGTCTCATAGTAATTTCTAATTGAACCAATCAAGTGCATGCACGAGCATTTGTTCACACCATCCATGCTGGAACCACCAACGAGACTACATGTGTAATTCTTAAAATCGTCTATGTATGCAGCGAAAAGGATAATTATGACGCAAAACTCGGATGTCCGCTATCTAGAGATACCTACTTTCAGCGTTTGTGAACAAAAGCCCACAATCTGCAGCTACTATAAAGCTAGTTATAAAGTTTATAGAAATTTACTTGCAAAAAGTCAAGAAACGAAGAGGAAGATTTTAGCTACAAAAACTTAATCTTACCAGTTTCACAGTGTTTACCGGTATACCCAGGTATGCAGCGGCAGGAGAAATCATTGGTAACATCTACACACGTCGCACCATTAGCACAGGAGTGGTTAGCGCAGTCATCGACATCTATCATACAATGGTGAATAGCAAGAAAAGGTCATCCTCTATCTTTACTTCCCTTTGTTTAAGTTGAGAAGTTAGATTATAATTGGCAGTATTGTCTGCTATTAGTACTTACTAGGCCGGACCATCATAATGAAGACTATAGTTGACGAGAACATAATGTAGTCAATGTCCAATAAATAAAGAAAAAGTGAAAAAAAAACCAAGAAGGTGGAACGGAAAAATGTGTTTAAAAAAATCATCAGCAAGTTTATCTTCTAGTTGCATGAGCGCTTTGATCTCGTCCTCTTATTGTTAAGTAGATTTATTTCCCTAAAGCTTTCTTCAAACGATACAACGAATAATTAGAATGGTAAAGAGAATGTAGTTGGATATTTCATTACCAGTCTCACATAAATCTCCTGAAAACCCTGCCATACAGCTGCACGAGAAGTTATTGACAAGGTCTACACACGACGCACCATTAGCGCATGTGTGGTTGATGCACTCGTCGATGTCTATCAGAAAAGATCATTCAACGGTTAGTACATTTTGATTATTTCTTTACTTTCCATGTTATAGTGTACTCAAAACACTAACTTGTCTCACAGTAATTTCCAGTTAAACCAATCAAGCACATGCACTAAGAATTGTTTACACCATCCATGCAGGAACGACCAATAAGACTGTAGTGTAATTATTTTATCCTCTATGCCTACAGAGAAAAAGATAATAAAGACACAAACTAGATGTCGAGTAGACCACTTTTATTGTTTGTGACCAAAAGCGCACAAACCGCAGCTACTTTATATCTTTGTTATGGAGGTTATAGAAGTTTACAGGCAAGTGTCAAGAAAAGAAGAGCGACTTCACCTGAAGAAAACTTTTTGCTGCTTAAACTAAATCTTACCAGTTTCACAGTGTTTACCAGTATAACCAGGTATGCAGCGGCACGAGAAATCGTTGGTATCATCTACACACGTCGCACCATTAGCACAGGAGTGGTTAGCGCAGTCATCGATATCTATCAAAACAACGGTAAATAGTTATAAAGTTTTCTTCTGTCCTGAATTGAATAAATAATGATGCACAGAATAGTCTGCTACTAGCACTAACTCGTCTCACAGTGATCTCCAGTGAAACCAACCAAGCACACACACGAGTAGTTATTCACACCATCAACACAGGAAGCACTGACGGTGCATGTGTGATTCATACAGTCGTCGATGTCTAGTAAGGAGAAATAAAAATAGAAAAAGATGTGTTATTAGAAAAAAAGTAGTCTGATAAATCATAGAGCTACTTAGCAAGTTAATGTTAAAGTTGCAAAATGTAAGCGCCTTTATATCTGATATTCCTTACATAACAGTAGTATCATTTTCTGGAGAATTCGTTTAATTAATTAATAATTATCCCTTTAGATGCTGGTAAGAGTGTACCCCAAAAAGAGGGCAATTATTAGACAGGTAGTTCAGTGTTAACAACTATCTATCTATCGTCTATCGCTCTGACGAAGGACTAACGTTCGAAACGTCAGCTTTTACTCTTTACGGTGGCCAATTTACGTTTTCAACTCAGTTGTTAACACTAAATTACCTGTTATACTCTCCCACCGACGCAGCACCACAGTCTCTTAGAAACTTACCCCCTCTATTCAATTAGTAGACAAATGGACTATCTGTGACCACAGCTACTCGGAGGTTGGTCATATAATTGTGAACCCTTTTACTTCACGATAAAAAGCAGTGATTTTGTCGTGATAGAATTGATACCTTTGCAATTCTTTCCATCTCCAGTGAACCCCAAGGGACATGGACCACAACTAATAATTTCACTGTTTTTGAAGCAAGTCACATTCGGGTAACAGGAATCATCGGCACAGTTCTTTATCTTAATATCACAGTTCGAACCGGTAAAGCCAGCGAAGCAGTTGCACGTGTAGTTATTCACCAGGTCAATACAGGTACCTTGCAAAACCAAAAGAGCAGTTAAAGATAAAATGTTGAAACTAATGTGGATCTCTATAACACTGGATCTAAGGGAGTGATTTCGACTTAAGGGAATGAAAGATCACCGGCTTTCTTAGAAATCAGAGCATTCTCAGTTTTCTTTAAATTTGCTTTTGTAATTAATCAATCATTTTATCAATGTCGAAGTGGGGAATTAGGTTACTCTATATGAAGGCTTCAATGAGGTCAACCGTTGACCGTAAAACAGGAAACAAAAAATTGCCCCTAAGCGTAAAAATTGACAAATTTTAACCATTAGTCGTAAAAAGAGTTAACCGTAAAATGATTCCTTTCTGCATTCTTCCTTTTGGGTTAACCGTAGCCGTAAAATGGCCAAAATGTTAATCGTTGGCCGTAAAAATCATTATCCCATTGAGACCCTTCTATAAAGCTTTACGATGGGGTAGCATGACTTGATTAACAATCAAAAGAAATAATTAAGAAAATGTCAACTTAAAATGCAATATATCAAGCAATTAAAGGATGCAAATATAAGTATTTACACGTAAATGCCTCGCCCATATGAAATTGCAGATTAATCGGGAAAATAAGAGGACAGATCCCATGTTTCAATAAGTTTAACTTCATTTTGCCGTTTTCCATAGGGAGATATTTCTGGAAGTATGACGAAATTGCGTTTTAAGACTCCGAAGAGTAACCAATACTTAAAATGCATCTAAAATTCGCTTACTTGCTACTCTGTCGAATCTTGCTCGACACTCGTATGATCCAAAATTTAAATGGTTAAGAACGCAACGCTTTATTGAGAAAAGTAGGCTTTTTAGTGAAGGGGATTCCTTTTGGAGCCTGGTATGAATTGTTTCTCTGTCAACTCTTAAAATGTTTAGTTTGTCAGAACCAAGTAATTGATATGGGGTGAAGTTATTCTATGGCGCTCCATGATTATTTCAATTGCTTCATATTACTAACTGGATTTTGAGAATAACTTCATTGCATATCTAGCATTGAGTAATCAAATAATATCTACAACTTTCTATGATATAAAATTGCATACCATTTACACAAGGAGTTGCAAGACAATCATCTATGTTGGAATCACATCTTACACCACTAAAACCGGTTGGGCAGATACAGGTAAAACCGTTAATTTTGTCTACACATGTACCTTTAAAAACAAAAACACAAACGGACAGAGAAACAAACATAAACAAAAAGAAGGAAATTAAAATGGACAATTAAACATGTTATTTTTGCACAATCTTACAAGCTTCAAACTGGAACTATAATTTTCTAGAGCTCCTCGAGCGTCATTGATAAAATGATAAATGATATTATACAAGCTTTTCAACTCGTATTTATCATTTCAAAATCCGAAAGCATTTCCAAGGAGTATTATCTAAGAAATTTATAAGTTACTGGTGATAGCTTTGTTGACTGAATCCATCATAATTCACTGCTAGAACTGCACACCCAGTTAGTGAAGTAAAGGAGATGCTAACGTTGGGTTTTTAGAAACATCGATCCTTTTACGATATGAATGGACTTCCTCTCAGATTGTGAAAAATAGAAAGAGAAAAGCATACTGCAGATTGTCAAAAGGCTAATACAACCAATTAACTTTTCATTACCATGAACGCATGGAGAAGACTGGCACTCGTCGATGTCTATGGTGCAGTTAAAACCAGTGTAACCAGACAGGCATTGGCAGGAATAATTGTTCACGGCATCGATGCATGTACCTAAAGTGAGTTAAGTTTCTGTTAACTATTTCTATTTTATTGTATAAATCATATTTTTTAAATGTTGGGAGCGATATAAATTCAAGTGTTTAGGTCGCTCTTTCACCCATAAAAGATCTTACATAATTATGATAGTTACGAAAAAATCTTAATTTTTCCCTTTCGGGGAATTAAAAAGTGATTGTCATATTTCTATATATAACTTACCATGAAGGCATGGAGATTGTAAACACTCGTCGATCTCCTTTTCACAGGTTTGTCCTTCGTAGCCAGGTTGACACTCACAGTAGTACATGCCTGATCCTCTGGGGTGATTAGGATCGGGCACGCAGGTCCCTTTGTCGGTACAAGGGCATGTCAATATCTCTATAGTCATGTTGAAAGTGGATGAAGCGTTACACTCGTCAGTAGCTTTGAAAAAGAATTTCGTTGAATTAAGACTCTCGGGCGTCCAGTGAAGAACGTTGCTGTCGCTGAATGACGCTAAGGAAGGACTTCCACCGATCATTTTCACCACAAATGGTCTTTTCTCAGGGTCTTCTCCTTCTAACTGTAGCCGAAGATCTTCTCCAATGAGGGCATATCTCACAGATGGGGTAGTGACGTTTGGAGGAAGATTTACTTTAAAGGAGAATGCAAATATTTTAATAACAATCACGACAGCCTCTCCTCTCTCATTACAAACCTTATTTAAATTTGTCCTCAAGTTTTTTACATAAACAATGGTAAAACTCCTAATTCTTTCCAAAACTATTATATGCTTTCCAAAACAGCATTTTCTGCGAAAATGGATTCGTATGGAAGGTTTTCATGTTGATACCGTAAAAAAGAAGCCATGAAGTTTTTGCTGATTAAATTAAATAAACCTGCTAAAACTTCTTGCTTATCTTCGTACGAGAAATCACTACGATAATAACAAAATACGCGAAATTCTTTCTTTATTTACAGAATTTACGACAACACTTGAAAGTACATGAGCAATTATACTAAAGTAATAACTTGCCTCAGGCTCCCTCGAATAATCCCCTCGACTCAGTCTCGGGGATTATTAAACAATTTGAGGTGAATGGCTTTTAATGAAATAAAAACAGTGATAATTACAATAACATTACAACAAATTGACGAGTTGTTGGCCATGTTGTTCCGTGCAAATCTCGCATTGTTTCATGATACACCTGAAAAATGAACGAAAAAATACCCGGTAAAGCAAGCTGGCTTTTTTTTCCCTGAAGAAAGTGAGGGACTACTTTTAGGTTAGTAAAACAGGTGAAACTTGTCGTCGTAATGACAGAACATTTCAGAACTCACCACCACTACAGTTAGCTAATGTGGTATAAGCATCTATCCAATTATTTCATAGATCATTTCTGAGTGAGTAGTTCAGTCGGATGAAAATAATGACGTCTCTTAGAGCTGGAACGCACATAATATGGGAACACTCCCCTTCCCCGCTTTGGAGGCGTTCAGGAGCATCAAATCTTGGAAAAGGGAAAGAAATCCTGACATTGAGAAAAGAGTAATATAACGCAGAAAAAAAAAATAACCAAAAACTTACCCATTTCCAGTTGATTCAGCAATGAAAGCCATTAATGCGCCTCACGCGTTGCTTGTTAAATGGCAGCCATCTCCTCTCAGGGAATTACTTTTGCGAAAAACCGCTAACCTTTATTTGTTTGTCCATTTTCTTAGAAACCTACCCAGACCGGTCAAAACGTGAACTTATGCCTAGTAAAAGAATCTTCAGAGCAATTTGAATATAAATATATTTTTTTAAAAAATAAGATCACATAGGCCACTATTAACGTTGAAATAATTTTCTGTCTAAAAATGTGAAATTTTGCTATATTCCTATATACATCAGGCGATGGATGAATTTCTGTAACATCTAGTAAATGAAAGGATGCAGAATTGCTGTGACATCTAGTGAGGAAGTATTTGCAGAATTTCTGCGAAATCTAGGGAGTAAGAGTCTAAAGAGTTTCTGTAACATTTATTGAACAAGGTTGCTGAATTCCTGCAACATCCAGCGTATTATAGGTTCCAAAATTTCTGCAAAATCTAATTACGAACGAGAGGTTGCAGAATTTTCTGCGACATCCAGTGTATTACTAGTTGCAGAATTTCTGTGACATACAGTGTCTGAGTTGTCACAGAATTTCTACGACATCCAGTGTGTGAGAATTTGCACAATTTCTGCAAAACCTAGTAAATGAAAGGTTATAGAATTTCTGCAAAATGAATGGATGGTTGCAGAATTTCTGCGACATCCAGTATACGAATGGTCCCAGAATTTCTGCGAAATCCAGTATATGAATGGTTGCAGAATTTCTGCGACATCCAGTGTATGAGTGGCTAAAAAAGTTCTGCGACATTCAGCGCATTAGACTTTGCAGACTTTCTGCAAAATCTAGTGAAGGAGAGGTTGCAGAATTTCTGCGACATCCGGTATACGAATGGTTGCAGAATAATTGCGACATGCAGTCTACGAATGGTGGCAGAATTTTTAGCAACATCCATTGACCGAGAGGTTGCAGAATTTTTGCGATATCCGTTCTATCAACGAAGCAAAAACTGCTGAGATCTAATCTCTTTAACAAGAGCTTTCAGGGAGAAACCATTGATTTATCTGAAAATTTGCTATTTTAGAAAATACAAAATAGTTTGGAAAGCATTGCTCAATGAACGAAGCAAAAACTGCTGAGATCTAATCGTTTTGCAGGAAAATAGTGTGGTGAATGCCGCACTTTTTTAAATTTAGTCACATCGTGCTATACCTCAACGCGTATTTAATAAAATCCCATACGAAAACACACACACAATCAAACAGATAGAAAAGAAAAGAAAAACGATAAAAGGTTAAAAGTTAATTATACAAGGACACTCGTGGCGTTTCGACATCAATTACACATGATAGGTGGCTTATCCCACAGGGGTTTTCGGTGAGCTTAAGTTCAAAATGATGTCAAAAGGCTTTAAGCTTTTGAAAATCTTGAGGAAAAGTATCCACAATCTCTGTCCACCTTTCTATTAATTGATTAATTCATCCCATAGGAGCAAATAATTTATTCTTCCATCACCCTCTAATTATGCTAGTAACTCACCGCATCGTTGCGTCCACTTATGCTGACTTTTAGACGGAATACATTGCCGACACCAATCGTCTGGATTTGGATCACCTTCAGCGAAACAGTGGCCTTTAATAAGACATGAGTCATCCTAAAAGATAATTTGAACAAGAGATAAATTAATGAGTATATGTATTTAACAACAATATTTTTCGCCGAAAATGAAGTGAATATTGTTGAATAATCCAACAATGTTCAATGAGCATGAGGTAGATATTTTTTTAGTCTTTCTCAGGTGATTTCGAATTCTGATGTAAATTTCTTAAATAGAGAAAGCATTGCGCATACTTTGTTACCACTGTGTTGATTACTCTTATACTTACTGCGTAAACAGGTTTATTCTATTCAATTAGCAAAAACATTTAGCATCTTTTGCGCTCCTCGCAATTAAATTTTCTTCTATTGCGTTTATCACTTCCTCGGAAATAATGACAAAACGCGAGGTAGTAATTTTGAAATTTAGCATTGCTGCAGTAATTACCTCACCTCAATGATTAGGGCGATTTAGAATAATTGCTCAGGTGATTATAGACATGCGTGCGCTATGGTTGGTCAAGAATTTCGTCATATCTTGTAATTATACTAGCTATTATGCTAAAACAATTCTTCGCCTCAGGCTCAATAAATATTGTTGGATAATCCACTCGACTTCGTCTCTGGGATTATTCAATAATATGCACTAAGCCTGAGGTGAACAATTGTTAAATATGACGCAATCCTCGACCAATCAGAGCGCGCATATCTCCATAATTATCTGAGCAATTGCACTAAATATGTATGTGCATGTATGTATCTGTTGATTTCAACTATTTTTTTAATTATCTCTGTATTTAGCACTGAAACCAACCTCTAACTCCACAATTAAAATTATGTAACAACATAAGAAACAAGTAATAGATGAATAGTACAATTCTAAGGTATTATAGCAGATTAGATTTCGAGATCTAAATTAGCTTATCTTTTTCTATAGACATGTGCGCGCTCTGATTGGTCAAGGATTACATCATATCTCGCAATTACACGAAAACAATTAGCTCGCGTTGGATATGAGATGACAGATAGCTAACGAGGCCCTTAGGGCTGGGCCGAGTTGGCTATAATCATGTTATATTCATCCAGCGAGGACGGGGACGGGTTAATGGCAAGATACGATATTGAATATAATTAACTTTTTCTTTTGTCGTACCTTAAGAGAACAGCCATTTGAAACGTTACACACTTGACACACTGGGTCGAATGTTATCATTTGAACAGGCTCGCTCTCGTGACTTCCATCGTTGGATACTGATATGAAATACCTAGCTGCCGGTGTACCTTCGACTTGATAATTGCCAAGATTAATAGGAGGGATTGGGAGATTGCATTCAACGGCAAACAAGTCTGTTTTACTTCCATTAAACTTTTGTGACACGTTCATCGGTATCCAGGTGCTTGGTACGACCTTTTGAAGCACAAATAAGTAAAGATCTATGAGAGAGAATGTTGTTATATTGATAACACAGGGCGATATCACAAATGTCACACTGGTGTCTAGTTTGGGCATGTTACCAGTGGGAATGATGCGATCTAAGTTAGAATTACGCAGTGAAATTAGTTTCAGTCGGCTGGCTGCAGGTTTAAAAAAAGCATATAACTATTAATGAATAGTCGAAAAAATTTTAGAGGTATAGGTTAGAATACACCGAGGGTGCGAGGAAACTCACAAGTATTAACCATATAATTACAGACTAGAAGTAGACCTTAGATCTGAAGTGCTGCAACCAGTGAGCACAAATCGTCAAGTTATTTTTCATGGTATCATGTTTTTATCTCATTCATACTGAGATTTGTTCCTACAGACCGACAAATTTCAAAGATCAGAGGCCATTCGTTGCCCCTCCACTGTAAGTTCTATCGTTCATGTCTCTACCTGGACCAAAGATATATTTTCATGGTCGTTCGTTCAGTGTATGAAATAAGAATTCTCTCGCGTTCCAAAGTCCCTACTGAATGAAACAAAACAATTAAAATATGCAACATGGAAGCTACCTTGGACTCTCTGACATGACATGTCAAATTTTCTGAACTTAAAAAATAGTCGCCAAAAACAATGGTTCTCTTGCAGGGCCTTGCACGGATATCGCAGAGTCCTTCATCCAATGCCCTTAAAGTAGAAGGAGAAAAATTGTTTTAGTACTCGTTACATTTAAACTGACTATCGTTTTCTGCAGCTGCCCACCCCTCTTTAACACAGCTTTTATAAAATTGGTGGGATGAGGTTGCTTCAGTGACAAGCATAATTTTTTTTTTTCTCAGAGGGCAGGGTAACCAATTCTGCAATCTGATTGGTTCTTAGTGTGGTCTGGGCTTTTCTTATCTCTGCCTAAGGGCACGGTAACGCTTTTGTGAGTCGCCGAGAAAATCCCGAGCGTCGTTGCCATTTTTCGTAATTATATTTTGTTAATCCTCTCTTTGCAATCTCTCAAATCGCTGTGCTTGCCAGCAATAATTGTTTTCGAAATAAATTTGTGGTAGCGAATGTGTCATTAAATGGATTGACATGTGGCCCAAAAACGTTTTTGGTAAAAATTAATCCTTCAAAAAAAGTAACTCGGAAGGTTAAAACGGTGAGATATTTGTCTCTAATCAAATTAATCGGTAGAAACATTTATTTAATATCTAATTTCTCTCAATTTTTTTTTGCGTTAAACGGTGAACGAAGACCTACCATACAAATACGCCTTCGATTAGCCTTTGCAAGTCTGTTCAATTTGGTCATTTGTACTGTAAATTGCACCACAAAAACCGACGAAATTCAACGAGAGAAAGTTCAGTTTTTCAAAATTTAAAATGCACTTTAATTTTTTCTCTTACGCGCCCTCTAATTGACAGGTGTCAGATTATGACAGATACTTATGAAAAAACCTGTATCAGAGTTTGTTACATGTTTGTTAGATCATGTTACATCATATCTTTTTTTTATCATTTTTTATTAATTTATTTTCTATCTTTGCTCATTTGCCTTTCTTCGTGTGGCCTGGCCCGTTAAAAAGTTTTTAGCAGCTCGGTTCGTATATAGAAAATCCTTCTCTTGCTCACGAAATTACGACCAATAATAAATATAATAAATAGTGATAAATTCCCGATTTAGATTGTTTCTAGTCCAATTGGTCGATCCTCAACTTTCACCGTTTGTTGGTCCGTGAGTGAACGGAATCCTATAGGAACTTTTATCAAAAATTAAGTGGTGAAACAATTAAGTCAAGTAGTACCTGAACAACCGCGGAATTTCATCGTATCTCATCGAACAATCAGCTGCAACGAAACCTTCATTACAAACGCAAGTACCATTTGAACAGTTCCCTTGGAAGCTGCAGTCATTGGGGCATAGCTTCTCCGTTATTTTTGTAGGAGGCACAAGATTTCCTTCCTCATCTTTCTCGTAAGCGGAGTAGTTTTTCACTACCTCAAATTGGCAGCTCGATTTTAGCGCCTCGAAAGCGCTCTCAACCCAGAAGACGTCCCCTGTTGCCTGAACAAAACAAAATAAAGGTATTAATATGGTGCAACGCTATGACGATCACTGCGATATCAACGGGTTTATATTATAAAAGAGATGAAACAAAATTTGTGTTTGTCCCCTCCCCTGTAATGGAGGTGGACTTTTGAATTTGCGTTAGAGCAAAATTTGCGTCAGAGCAAAATTTGCGTCAGAGCAAAATATGCGTTAGAGCAAAATTTGCGTCAGAGCAAAATTTGCGTCAGAGCAAAATTTGCGTCAGAGCAAAATTTGCGTTAGAGCAGTGTAGCTCAGTTTTACTCGGTGACTAGGCAGTAATTCGGCTTCACCAACGATAAATGCAAGTTTGAATCGTGGCTTTGCGATGTATTGAGTTTAATTCTAGTAAATAATGAATACAAACCAGACAGAATCCTCCTTTGATAGGAAACATATTGCGATACCAGTGTTTCCTCAGCTTTCCGTGCGTTTTTTTGTTTGGTTTTTAGGGTTCTTTTTCGTAGTAATGCGAAATTCAGGGCTTCTCAATATTCCCTTTGCATCAAATCAACTCACACTCGTACGCTTTAATTTATTGCATTTTGTCAGCTGTCAAGATCACTTCACTTATTTCAAAGGCTATCACTTAAAACAGAAACGAGAAGAAAAAGATAAAGAAAAAGTATGTCTTGATTTGAATTTAACAGCTTTGTATCCTACCTGCAGATCTAAAGCACATTGGCGGATGATGCCACTAATGTTTACGTTTGGAAGTTCTATACAAACACGGACAGCATCAATGTTTAACAAAGTTTTCTCACAGTAGTCCGTTGTATTTTCCAAGGACATTTTGAAGTTCACTTCACGTTTTTTACGCGGCGAATTGAATGAGATAGGAGTTTCGATGTTGTCATAACGGTAAATGACGTCATCACTATACTCAACATCTCTCTTTCCTTCGTTATCATTAAGGTTTCCTTGGGGTGCAGGTTTAAAGGGAGGATTTTGATTTGTTTCTGTAGGCTGTGAGACGCTTTGACTGCACCGAACATCCATTACTCCACTTGTTTCAGTGCATGTGCAGAATTCCTGATCGAAGATGGAACCGTCACATTGTGCATCATTGCACATCGGCACAATGTGGAAGAGACTCTCCGACTTGTTGACTCTAGGGAAACATATTCTATTAGGGTCCTGATTAAATTCAAACAAATTGAATTATCAAATATGATGAATGTAAACTGTTTTTAACTGCTGCTACGATAATTGACTTCAAGGAAAAGTAAAGTTATGAATATGGAAGCGATCTTCGCAGTAACGAACGCTACTTAAGCAGAAATACATCAGGCCTTTACGGGATTTGAACAAATGACCCCCGCGATACAGGTGCACCTCTCTACCGACTGATTATGATTGTGTTGGTTCCAAATAAACCCGTGAAGTAGTGAATAAAATGACTGTAAATATATGAAAATCATAAATATGAACTGTAGATAAAGAAGTGAACTTGGAAGCGATCCTCGCAGTAATGAACAGGCCTGTGGGGAATTTGAACCCATGATCTCTGCGAGCTTGTTAACACAGTTGATAGAGCGCTACATCGGTATCGCAAAGGTCATGGGTTCAAATCCAGTGCAGGCCTGAATTTTTTTTCAGTTCCAATTTTTAATACTTTTTAAGTAGTTTTCATCATTGCAGAGATCGCTTCCATGTTCATTTCTTTTTCCGCATTTCATACACGTGATTTCCATATATTTACAGTCGGAAAAGTATAGTGTTCTGTCATTTCAAAACCTCTTTTAAATCCATTTAATACGATTTTAAGGTAAATTTTTGGAGAGAAGCGATGCTAAAACTGAGAAAGTTGTTTTTCTGGAACAATAATGACATCAATCCTATAAACTACGGTTTTAAAAAAGGATTTCCAGCCCCGATAAAAAGCGGTAGCAACACACGTGCAGAAAAAAAAAAAACAACAACAACAACAAAAGAAAAAAAACAAGAAAAATAAAAAGGGAATGAAAAAAAAAACCTTATTTTTTCACGTGTGTTCGAAAAACTTTCGCCAATCAGCTACTGACACGTTACCCGCCTTTCGCGCCACTAGCTCAGGTTGACGAATGAAAGGCAAATCCTTCACCATTCTCAATCCAAGGTCTTTTGTCGGAATTTTCTCAGTTTATGGCTGCTGAAACACTGATTAATTCCCTATCGCTTACAGACAACGATGCTCAAACTTTCCTCGAAGGGGAAGAAAACCAATGTACGAAAAAAAAGAAAACCGAAAGTTACGTATTCAGTGGCTTTGGCAATTGCATTTCTTGCGGCTGAGAACGAAAATCTACAGGCCGATTTGGTCGTTTACCTGAAAGATTTCCTCTGTCAGCCAGGAAAAGTCAATCAATGATAATTGCAATGCATTTAGCTTTAGAAATGATGATTTATTTTACCTCCAGCTTAGTCCAAAAGCTTCTTGATCTGTATGACTTTGATTGTCCCCACCGAGAAAGTCATCGTTGGGATCACCGTTAAAATTTCCGCACATACCTTCGGTTTTAGAAAAGTCAGACCTAGGGGCGTACAGATATACGCTATTTCCCCAGCTATAGCGCTGTATTTTAACTCTAGTCCCAGAGGGAAGTCTCACCTTTTAAAAAATCAATTATGCATGTCATAGGTCAGTTCTCGCTCTTCAGGAGTAATGAGATTTAGTGAATGGAATTATCTTGAACCCACAAGCACTAGTTAACGCTATACCTTAACTACCTTGGGACAGGAGAATAGAAGTAAACATCATTTTGAGATTCTAGGGGCATTATTATAAATAGGGATAACCTTGTAAAAGCACATGTTACGTGACTGATATATTATTCGGATTCGGCTTGTCAATCGATAATTTTTTCGCCTGTTTTGCTTTTGTTCATTGTTAAAGCCAGAACACTGGAATCGGCTAAGTGATGTTATTAAATGAGGAGTCTCCATCTTGAAGAAAGATGGTAAGATAATTAGCGATAGCGCTCAGCTTTTCTCCTCATCCTCTATTAAGATGCTTTTAATAGATTGTTTTTCCGGATGTGATTTGCAAGAAATTCGAGAAGCCCTTTTTCACAGATGTGGCGATAGCTGGCCGGCCTGACGCACACCTCGCTAAAGAGAGAAATACTCTATGGCAAAACCACTGTTCATGATGCAACTCAATAAAATACAACTCTGAAAAACCTTAATTATTTACTTTTTCTTGCAATGAGCGTGACCACGGCCTACCTTTGAGAAGAGGACAAGAAACCACATCGGTAGGAATAATTTGAAGTTTCAACTAACTAATTTCCTAATGGAGACCAAGATGATTTACACAACTGGATTCTAAGCCCTCATTCCCAGGGTTTTTTCATTGTTATTCTTTATTATTCAACATTGTGTTGGTTTAGCGCGGAATAGGTTGTGCATTGCTCTTATCAGTACTTCTTACCGCACTTTCAATTTATAACACTTTCTTTCACAAGGAGCAGAGGTTTTCGGAATTCTTCTAATTCTTTTTCATTCTCTTTTAGCTCCAATTTTGCTCTAATGTAACCAGTGCTCATTTGCATGATTTTGAGTTAAAGCAATAAAACTCACTTTCTATCGGTTTACCGGCTAATAAATCGCCCAGGATGTTGGGAGAACACGAGAAAAGTTTGGCTTTACAAATGCTTGCAATTTTGACTCCCGATAATGTGTACGGAAATTTTTCAAAGTCTGGGGGCCTTAGAAGCGTTTTAATATTTTCAGGAGCTTTTCCAGCGAAATAAAGGTCAGTTGTAGAATTTTAACTTGTGAAATTTATTTTCAATACGAGGATTTATCTTTAAATTCTTTAATAACGTTACCACTGCACCACGACAAAAGCGATAAAATCAAAGGACAATAACATTGAGCCGTGTGCACTGTTTCAAACTTCGTCCAGCTATTTGTTTAGAAGCAGTACACTATTTTCCTTTATCCATACAGATTTGTCTCTGTTGCCTCAGCTTAAATTAAAGCTTTCATGAAGTTACCTTTAAAGTTTATAGTAAATTATTCAAACGCTTAAACTTGCTATTGAAAGCTGAAATCGCGGAGAGCAAACGGAATTCGCATAAAATCTGCATTTTATAGGACGGGAAGATATCTCGGTTTTCTACGGTTCAGAGTTGTGAACAGTTCCTGAGAACGAAGCCTAACAGCTAAATCTTTGGCCATTTTATGGTCAACGGTTGATCCTATCGAGATTCTCTCACTATCGATGGGGATTCAATTGCTGCTCGAGGGAAGAAAGTTTGTGGTAGCTCTCCACGGCTGTTGATATATTTGCTTTTATGGCCGGCACCGACTTCAGGATTGTTACCGAGGTAGCTCGCAAACAATGTGAGGAGTGTTCAAAAATTTATCACAATGGCGATGACTAACGTCAAAGTTCTACATCTTCTATTAACATTTCAGGGTTCAAAAACTTTACATGATGGCCGTCTTAGATTATTTTATTGAAATTATCTTTTTATTTTGTAATTTAATCGTTGGAAAGACTAAAATTAACAAACACAAAAGACAAAAAAAAACTGAGAGGTGGGAGAGGGGAGGATATCCATTTCGACTGGACGTCCAAGGACTTATAGGAGTCTTTGTGTCTCACCTCGTACTCGCTATAACCACCTGGATGCCGCACAAGTATTTCTGTTCCCTTTCGTAACCGGCGTTTGCTAGGAATTCGTATTTTCATTGGCATTCCATACCGCAGATGTAAATCCGCGGTACAAGTGTCAAGGACAATAACATCATTGTGTTCCCTTATGGCCACACCACAGTCGCATGCTCTGTCCCAACAATTCCACAGGCGAGTTTGTACCTAATATGGATAGAGAAAGACTGTTTACATGTCTCCGAAAAGAGCTTTACATGCAAAATCATTATCCGATAGTACTTTTTCGCTAACAACATCTCAGACAGTCATTTCGGCCACTCATATGTTTTTGGTAAACTGTCAGCCTCGTCCCCTTGACATGCGTGCTTGAAATTCATTATAGTTGCCTAAAATACTCGGGGTTCGAAGAACGCGAACCGAAGGGAGGGGCTAACCCGGATATCCTATTTCAACTCGACTTTCTTTACACTCGTTTTTTAGTGCTGTATTCTTTGAAAGAAGAAAAAACATACTCGTGGAAACTAACTGGGAAAAACGTTACTGGAAAGCTATCACTTTCCTGCGAAGCGCCATTTTGCCTGTTGCCTGTAATGAATATGAGGGTTCTATCATTTTATTAGCTGACGGCTCTCAGCGTGAGACTCGTGTTGACATAATTCTCTGACAAGGCATGAGATGTTTAGAAGACCAAACTCTATCAAAAACTCACAAGAAGATTTTGACAAAATAGCTCTTCTTCAAATAAATTAACGAGGAATGTAGAATTGGCGGAATTCCGTAAAATTCGATCCGAAAGTTGAGTGAACAATGAGAAACAGGCACATTTTTAAATATTCAAATAATTCCCTCGTTTGGACTTGGTAATTTACTCTTTTGCAGGTCTTTTTAATAATCGAGCGAGTTTCATAAAATCTTACTTCAAAATATCGATCCAAGTTGCGATATAAAACAAAGTCTCCAGTTCCTGTGTTGAAGTAAAAGGACCTGCGATAGAGATGAGACGATTTAATCAAATATTCATTTATTTAGCTTAAGATCCATTTAGAAAGCTGGCATTAAATTTAGAACCTAATGCAAAATCCTTGAGTGCGCTCTAACCCATAACATTCCACCCAACCCCTCTCTTATCACTTACAGCGCTCTTAATTAGTATGCATGCACTTTTCAATTCACCCCATCCGAAACGTCCACCAATTCTTGGATTTATCCTGCACATATGATATTTATTTACGAAAAATTCCGTTTCAGTGGCCAAGAAAAACCGACCCGCACGGTTTCATCTTTACTGCAACCTGGAGCAGAGTTTACTACAAATACGTAGTTGTTATACTAAAAGCAAACCTTGTATCGAATGTCAAGTAGTGTGGATCACCCGTAGTTCGGCACAGGTTAACAGGATTCTCTTTCTTTCTCAACTGAAAACATCAAAATAATAATACGTATGGCAAAGAACAGAAGAGTGGATACAATGGATGGTTAATTGATGCATATATAGCAACCCTAAAGGCTGAATTGTGTATTTAAAGTTATAGAATACTATTACTGAGGTTTTAGTGCTAAAATTTGCCATATATATATATACAAAGGATAACGGAAGGGGGAGGGGAGGTTAGATTTGTTTGCCATCCGTCTATCGATTTTTTTGTTCTTTCTCTTTTTATAAGAGGGATTTTATCTGGGAAACTGCCACTTTAGTGGCTGACGTTTGTTTATGTTGGAGACACATTTGCTGTGAACTTGGTGAAAATCGGCTTATAGATATAGGAGATACTTAACGACAAGTGAAGTGTGGTTTAGGGTTTGATGTGAGCTACGAAAAAAATAAAAATTTTAAGCAAACGAGGAAAATACAGTCAACCTATCATCTATTTCGGAGTTTTATTTTTGTATTTTCCTGTCAAGTTGGATAGCTACTGCTCTTTTGACAAGCCAAAAATTATTGTATAAAGGGGCAAGTTTCTAAGAAACTGTGGTCGCTCTGACGAAGACCCGCTCGAAACGTAAGCCTTTTTAAAGACTGACGTGCTCTGGTTAATATTCAGGCTATATAACTTTTCTTTTTGAGTTATTGATTAAATTTTGCTTTCAGAAAGATAAAATATAAAATTAAAGAACCAAAACAGACTAAGAAAATATAAAAAAATACAATTTTCATGTGAAATGATTTCGTAATTCACAGAGTTATCGGTGGTTTTGAGGGTGGAATTCCCCTTTAAGAACCAGTAGCTTTACTGAAGTGGAAAAAGAATTGATGACCTACCACAACTGGTGGAAGATTGTAGTTCAGCCAAAACAAATTCGTGTCTGTAACTGAAAATGTAAAGGTAGCCTCCTGAGCTGGTTGATCTCTATCATCGCACTTTACTTGTACCGTAATGTTTTTCCATTTCCCAACGTCGCTATGGTACAATCTAAAGAAACATGCAGACACAAGATAATCTCCTGGGACAGCAGACCCAAATGTAACTTTAATGCTGTCTTCGGTTCCAGGCAAATAGAAGGCACCGGAACGGATTGGAACAGTTGGTCGAAGTTGAAGGGTATAAGTTGTTTGTACCCTACACTCTTCTATGTTCAGTTGGCGAGGCCATACCTAGAAATCAAAATAATGGTGTTTACGCCAAGGACTACATTTTAAGAAACGATATAAAAATCATATCCCCTTTAAGAAAGTTCATATCTTAGAGTCGGGTCTCTTCAATTTCAGTTTCAAATCAAAACATTGCATCTTATCTGTTATAGCAACAATTGATACACTGTAATTAGTAAATTATTGAGAAAACGTAACCGATAACTTAGACACAACGCTTGACCTGATTGGTAAAAAAATCTATTGTTTATTTGCCTGTAAATCAGTGCACACGACTTGATGTTTTTCTGTTTCGATTTTCCCATTTTTGTAGCGGTGCTGTTTAATAATGTTGTTACTACAATTGACCTTTATCTCGCTGAAAAAAGCTCTGGAAGTATTAAAACTGCCTCCTAGCTTGCAAACTTTAAATAATTTTCCATACAGATTATCAGATCGCAATCACAGGGTTAGGCCAATTCTAGCCACAGAATCGCTCCAAGTATTTCTCCGCCCAAATTAAAGTATCGATGAGTAGCACGTTATAGTTTGTGCCTTCATTTTCCATATCACTTTTTTTCGTCAGTTTCCTTTACAATTACTGTCCAGGTATTCAGTGCCTTTGGGTTCATTCATACAGTGCTTTTTGCTTTGCTTTTCTAACCCTAAGCAATTACTGTTTTATCGCACTTTTTGACAGTGTTCATGAAAATCGGTGACCATAGCACAAACTAAGAATAAATATGTCTCTCTCTCTGATAAACGTCACTCATATTTGTGTCATATAAGAAAGAAACTACACTTTGTTTTACGGGAAGTTCACCATTCTAGCTTGAAGGGTAAAACACTATCGTGTTTTCATCTGAGATGACACGTTTTTTCACCTGAGATCGAACACTCAATTTAACGCATTTTTAATGAGATGTGTTTTTTTTTTTATTAATGCCACTTATGAAAACAATGAAATACCTCCTAAAAAATCCTTAACCATAAGATCCTTATTTAAGGTAACTAAACGTGATTATAACTGAGAAGATGGAGTCGCATAGCACAAACTATTTCGTAAATAGTTTACGAGACGATATCTCTCGCAGGTCTTCCTGGCCACTTCCATAACTAATTTCTTTAACCAGTAATTTAGACTCAACGCGTCCATTTCTACGATACCAGATAAGAGAGTTGCGACCTTACTTAGGTCATAGTACTTGTAAAGGCCTTCTTGTTGTAAAACGACACTTAAGAGGCTGTCTCTCTTATTTCCACCCGGTCAATTTTGCATCAAAAATAATTTTGCCTGAAACTCTGTTAACAGAGAGACTTTACCTAGGAAAGAACTAAATTAGATTTGGTTTGATTCGAAATAATTTTCTTACTGCATTACGGGCCATAATTATTTCCCAGTCCGTAGGGACCGTCGCAACGTCTCGAAAATTGAAAAATAGGCATATTTTGTAATGTTGTAAAATATTTGATTCGCATAGTTACGCCACAGAATTTATATCAGATTGCTTAAAAACCTTTCTAGTTTGCCAAGAAAGTTAGAATTTGCCCTCTCAACAAATTTGAAAAGGCGAATTTTAGCATATTCTGACCACTAGAAATCGCCATCGGCCGATGGCCGTAAATAACCTTGATTTAGACGCTAAGTTTTGGGATTTGGGACCTGGTTGACGATTCTATCCTACACAGCCGTTAAGTTTAGACCTTTATAGGCAAAAATATGCAAAACCCCTGTACGTTTTCGATTTTTCAAAAGTTACGACCGTTTGAATCAGCACATGTACGAGCATTCGCGATTTTTTCGCCTACACCAAAATCGAACCACTGGAGCAGATTTCGTCATAAATACAGCTTACCCGCTTTGCAGCCCGGCTTCATGGCTCACTTCAGAATTTTTCTAATAACCAAATTGATGAAATCCATGATAACTTCAACAAATAGCTAGGTATTGCCTTCGAAAAGTAGGCGGCATCCATCGTGATTCGTGGTATCAAAACAAATGCCGGAATTGGCCACATTTCGCGGTGAATCACCCATTTAACATCGCTGCAGAGCTGAATTTTTTCCAAAATCAGAATATAAACTCTCCATGTCAGGAAGCTGAGGGAGAAATGAAGGTTTTAGGCTTCTGAAGTGAAGAAATAATCGCTTAAATTTAGATCCAGTTCGATGTTATACTGTTCTCACAAAGGTCCGCACAAAAGAGAAGACCGCTGATAGCTTGTGCCGTACGTTGTGCCATATGGTTTTGTTTTGTATCCCAAAGTAATATTTGGGCAGAAAAGTTTTGGATGAAAAGAATAAATGCTTTTACCTGGAGTTTGATATCATATAATTAATAAATCAATTTCAAATATCCTGAGCTTGCTTCTCTCGGTTCCGCGTCGATTGTGTCCACAGAACAGCAACCTGTCAATAGCCGGAGAAATCGGCTACCAACGTGTTAAAAACTTGACACATGCTTCGTATGAACAGATGTTATAAGTGTTGCTTTTGGTAAATTTTCAATCGATTTCATCAAAACATTTTACTGACTACTAGATATTATAATATATTACACTATAACAACGCCGTCAGAACTTGATATCGGAAGTAAAGGTAGTTTGTATCTGTAGAGCATATTCTACACTTTCAGCCACCGTATAAGACATTGTTTACATAAGTCTACTGCAATCACTAATCACGTCCAACAGTTTGTCTATGAGGATCTGTTTTTTGTCTCTCAATTTTACAGGGATCTAAAAATGACTACAGATGGCTCTCAACAAAACCACATTGAATTTCTGAAGTGTGTTATTGTGGTAACGTTCACAGAGGTCCTAAGTGTCGTAGCAGATTGGATGTGAGACTTTGATCTCTTTGTTAACTTTGTCTACCAGATCTTATCTCTCGGAATTTTCCTGGACGCATTGGATATCTTCCTCCTCATCCAGTGATATCCCGATCACACCCTGATCTTTTCGCCGCATTGCTGCTAGCCGGGAGAAAAAGCTCTGAACTTGGTTCTTTGTCAGCTACTGTTCTCTAGTGAACAAACGTGCATTTGATTCATTTTTCGCATTTCGCATGCCCACTGCAACTTGGGCGGGGTCGGCCTTTCGCCCAGTTCTTTCTCCAAGTGTAAACCGTGCCGTTAGGTATTCTTTTACCTTCTCTGAAAATCTAACGCTGCCCCTTGGTTTGCTTACGGCCCATCCTGTTCGTAAAGACGAGTGGGGCGAAGTATCCACGGGAGAAGTGAGTGGTGTACTAGAATCTAACGAACAGCTCGAACACTCGATACCAGCGGTATCTATCGACGAGAACTTAAGGGCCCAGTCCCTTTGATTGCATCATACTGGCTTTAACCTGCTGACTGTATGCTTTCCAACGTCCAGGTGCAGCTCCAGCTGCGAAAAGGTTTCGAACACTTCAACACATCCAAACAGAGAGCATTCAAACAATGGCGTTGTACTCTCTGTTTCCTTGCTGCCCTTTGAACGACGCTTGACCACACGCTTTTCAGGAGGATCATAAAACCCTTGAGATTCTATGGTTTGAAGGGACGTTTGACCTTGGTGCTTGATATAAATTATGTCATATGGAATGTACTTCCCTTTATCGATGCCATAACATTTCCAAACTCTCAGACCGATATCTCCATATTCGAATCGAAGTTGTGGAAGCTACTAAAATGCTCGATCTTATTTATACAGAGTGTTCTTTGATTCGTCTACTATTCTTACTGCAGCTGTTGTTCCCTTCACTGGGTGTTTCGTCAATGCGTATCCTCTGTCCAATGAAAGCTTTAACAACCTCGCTGAAGACTCGCTACAGACTGAAGCCTCTCTGGTTTCGAAAAAGCACTTGCATGCCATACTACACTTGCAGGCCTTCCAAAAAAAATAAAGGGTTAGCGGGTTCACCCGCAATGATTAATGCGGACCTCTGTTATGCGCGATAGTGCAATCGTTCAGCTTTAAATTCAAAACGCCAAACTTCGACACATAGACTTACAAGTGGAGTTCTATGACTGATTCTTGAAGAGAATGCAGCTGCAATCCAAAGTTTCAACGGGACATTAAGCGCGAAACATGGCTTTAGTTTTCGAGTTTAGTTCGCAACAAAGAGTCAAAGAAGAGTATCGACAGATGCCGACCGCTTAATTTTGGAGGTATTTGCTGGAGTTATCATAAAGTCCAGTTCACCAGTTTGGGAAGCGAGGAATA